GCAGAGCCGGGCACAGTTGTACTTGGAGTGGCTGTAATTCCAGTTACGGTGGGCGGACCTAGACGAATGGAAGATCGTTGTGATGGTGAATTCGGTGGGGTGAAGAGCAGCGAAGCAGATTCAAACCGTTTCATGCAAAAAAATTTCGTCTGTATAGCCTGGTATCCATTTGTGATAAAATATTTGATGGTTCATATTACTCGAAGGCAGTAAAATATTTACTATTTTCCGTTTGTAAGGAGGCTTTCGAGACCACCAGTCGATCAGATAGATAAGGTGTATTCTTTCTATTTCGTAGTTGGAATTTTCCACAATAATATGAGTAGACCTTAAGTTTTCGTTGAATTCCATGTAGCCTTGCTTTGTCAAAAGGCTTTCTTATCCAAGGTTGACTGCAGTTTCGATCTCACCAAGGTCTCATAAGTACCCCCTTTGGGGAAAGCAAGGCTATATGGAATTCAATAGAAGCGTAAGGTCTACTAATATGATTATGAAAAATTTCTAATGACCCATCGCCTTATCACTGTAAGTGAAATATAATGAATTCACCTCATACAATGATTTACTATGACCAAAGTAAGCAATTTCCAGTGGCAGACAAGTCATAAGGTCTTTTGACACAATAAACTCTTCGAAGGGGAGCGGTTTCTTACTCACACTCTTTCACACACAAATACAAAAAATAATATAAATCTCTCTCACTTATAAAGATATTGTCTCAAGTAGTGTAGTGTAGATAACGAGAGAAGCTCAAGACTGAAGAGCCTGAGTTCCTCTTTCTGCCTCATCGAACGAAGTGGCGCCTCTTGAATGGCTGGTGGTCGCCAAGTGCTTACCCAGTCAATCGGACTATTCGGGAGTTAATCTCTAGCTGTCTCGATCCCTTGACTGCGAAGATGCCTTAGAATAGCACCTTCTCACTCAAATGAGGAGGACCTTGACAGTAAAATAAGTTGTCGCATCAGTAACTGTGATTTCATTATGGGCCAGAATTCCCTAGAAATGTCACAGCCTTCCTGTTCAGCGTGCTGAGCATAAACTGATTTTAATTCGACAGGAATCAAATCTTTAGAGAACGCCAAAATGATCTGAGGATAGATCAAGCTGTTCATACTCCAAATCCTTTACTAAGTCAACCAAATGTGTCCCAACTGATTGGCCTAGTCTAGCAATTTTTGGCAACTATGGCAAGTTCTAAGAGGCTAGTGGCTTCGAAGCGGGATGACACAAGAGAAATAAGCAACAGAAAGTGAAAGTCGTTTGTAGTATTGTCCTAGCTGAAATCTCTTGAGCTATCTGGTTTTGAAGTTGACGCTCCTTTATAGTTGACGGCGTCCCACTGATGAAAAAAAACTGGAAAGTGAAGAATTAGTTTGTTATTCATATTTGCCATTTGGCTCCCTTTCATAGGGACGAAACTACTGACCCTGTGAGTACCTATCTGAAAGGTAGTTGGATTTAGCCTTATCTCTAAACAAACTCACTTAATGTGATATCAGTCATACTTTAATTTGGTTGAGGCAAATAAACCAAATGCAAGTTAATTTACGAACCCTCCCATTTTCGCTAATTTTTTTATATAGATAGAATGATATATTTTATTTGTGTCCTTCATATGAAAAATCCCTTGCCCTCCACATTTTACTCCCTTACAATAAAAATTAAAGTGCACAAGCTACTACAGTTTTTCGCCGATTGATTGATGAACAGAAGAGAGGAATATAGCTCCCAAACTCATTATATAATTTTCCAAAATTTATCGGTAGAAGGTTTCTTTGACGGTTTCTTATTTTTTGCTATATCTCGATTTCGTTTGTTGCAATGCTTTTCTTGAATAAGTTTAGTAACCCATAGGGATTTTTCGTTCCGTTAAGACCAAGAGTTAGGAACAGTATTTAGCTGGATTGGTCTTTTAGACAATGAAAGTTGTCAAGCCCTCCAGAAATCGAGGAGAAATCTGGATTTTGCCATAGAATTCCTCTTTGTCTTGCACTCTAGAGTACATCTCAATACAAACTAAAATTTCGATCTCTTTTGGCTCTAATACATACAACGAGGTTTAAACATGAGTCAAACAAATCCCTAGACATCGTAGACCTTTTCTATAGATATGAGTCAGGTGAATCCTGCCTGTACATAAATTCTCGTCAGCTTGGTCCTTTATTGGCATTAGGATGGAGTGTCATCTGGTGCTATTTTGATCTCGTATATGTGATTTAACTCCC